TTCAAACTTAAATCTAGTTCGAATATGGGGAATATTTTTTGCCGAAAATTAATTGGGAACAGACCATCGGATTTGAACCAAACTTTTACACCCTAATATTTTAACTAAACCTGTTTAATGTTGCAAGATGGGAATTATCGGTCCACTCCTTCTAGCTCCTCCCCTACAAAGGGTGAATGTTTTGAAAGCTTTTAAATCTCATATGCTCATATCCATCAAGAACCGTGTATATGCTTCCCCAATCTATTTTGAATAAAATAATTCACGTATATTTTATGATGCATTTACTCAGGAATATGGCTTATAAATGTTTATTTTTATATACAAAATAAAGCGATTATACACGCGGAATTCTCAAATTAAGTATTTGCAGATGTTTCTACTTTCAAAGTACTTTTGAACGCAATTTTTTTTTTTTTTTGCGGATTTGAACACGGCTGGTGTCAGTCAGGTCAGGCTGGTCACAGTTCAGCATCTAAAAACTAAAATCACGCGGGGTTCAACCCAACAAATAGGTTTTTTTTTATAAAAATGTTCTTGAGATATACATCAATCGAAGTGAAATCACGAGTCCTACGATCCTATGATAAGTTTAGGGATTCAACTAGCTCGTCCGAAAACAGGCAAATTTCGGCTTCAAAAAGTCAGCATCCGGCTTAGTTCAATGCGGTGGAAATATCGAAAAATCATGCATTAGAACTATATTGCCAATATGGTGTTCTTCAATTCAGTCGTTGAGCACAAGTCTGCAAATGGTGTATTTTAGTCATAAATTAGCAAAGATAAAAAATTGTTGGCTTCAGCATATTTTGAACAAGTTTTGAACCGAATTGGCTGTTATTTGATATTATGGGTTCTCATTAGGTATTAAATGTCTGTATCAAAAATTATCAATATTGAACCACTTTTCAGTGTAGCCACCAAAAAACGATACAAAAAAATTTCAATATGTTGGAAATTATGGACAAATCTTTTAAGCAATTTTGCTGTATTGGGCGCAGAATCTTCCTACCAAAAATTGTCAATATTGGTCCACTTCTGTTCTCATGTAACGGTACCTCGTATTTTGAGTATTGTTAATTAATTTCCGTTAAAAATCTTAAAAAGTCGTAGAACTATTCAATAGCTAACGATGGTGTACGATAACGCGAGAAAAAATATTTTTTTTGGTTTTTTGAACCGATTTTTCCCAATATCAATAGACTTCTTCCCTGGGCCAAATAAATGAGCTGTGCCAAATTTTATTCAATTAGGATAATAAATGCGACCTGCATTTTGTTTATAATTTAACATGGATACACAGAAGGACGGACATGCATAAATCGACTCTATGCATAATCTCAAAAGGAACCCTGTGTCTATCTCGTTTCCTTTTGCCTGTTACAAGCATATGCACAAATACGTAATACCCTGTACCACAGTGTGGTGAAGGGTATACAAAGAAAGGACATGCACTTAAATCAGTTGAGGCCTGTTGTGCGCTCCAGAGAAAAAGGAATGTTGGAATTAGGGAGTTAGATTAAGTTTATTTGCGTTTGATATCCGTATGCTTCTAGGGACTCTGTGTTTTTGAGAATTCCTTCAGTCTACTCTATTTACACACCCTCAAATCGGTTAGTCCGTGAATAATGTTATATACCAAGAATTCTTTTGGAAGGCTTGTAAAAGCTGGGCAGTGGCACAGGAAATGTTCCAGAGTTTCTCTGTTCCCCACACGCTGAGGTTGAGACTGAGGTGTTCCGTAAGAATGACCGTCAGTCTGCTTTTTCATTATACCCTTCACCACACTGTGGTACAGGGTATTATGTCTTTGTGCATATGTTTGTACAGGCAGAAATAGTCGAGATAGACCCATGGTTCCTTTTGAGAGTATGCATAGAATCTCTCTCCGAGTCGATTTATGCATGTCCGTCTGGCCGTCCATGTATTTTTGTTAACAAAGTACAGGTCGCATTTATGATCCGATCTGGATGAAATTTGGCACAGGTCACTTAATTGGCCCAAGGACGAACCCTATTGAAATTAGAGACAATCGGTCCACGATTAGGCATAGCTCCCATATAAGGGCACCCCCCAATTTTCGGTATTTTGAGGTTCTTTAGCGCGTTTTTTTAACTGAATTCGCTGAAATTTGGTACTTTGAGTACTTATTGGGTAGCAAATCTCCCAACTAAAAATTATAAATATAGGTCCATTTTTTCGGGTAGCCCCCCATATAAGGGTACCCCCAGTTTTCGGTATTTTGGGGTTCTTGGGTTCGTTATATAAATGAATTCTCTGAAATTTTGTACATTGGGTTCTTATTGGGTACCAAATTACTCCACTAAAAATTATAAATATAGGTCCAGTTTTTCTGGTAGTCCCCATATAACGGTACTCCCAAATATTTGGTATTTTTGGGGTTCTGATAGTATTTTTCGACCGAATTAACTTTAATTTAGTAAGTCGAGTTCTTATTAGGTAGCAAATCTCTCCACTATAAATAATAAATATAGGTCCATTTTTCGGGTAGCCCCCATATGAGGGTACCCCCCAATTTTCGGTATTTTGGGGTTCTTGAACGCGTTTTTCAATCAAATTCTTTGTAATTTGGTTTTTTGTAGTCGTACATGGTAACAAACCTCCCTCCAAAAAATTATTTATATTCGCCCCCTTTTAGGGGTAGTCCCCTTATAACCCGCTTTTTAATCCCTTCACAACACTGTGGTACAGGGTATTATGTCTTTGTGCATATGTTTGTAACAGGCAAAAATAATCGAAATAGACCCATGGTTCCTTTTGCGAATATGCATAGAATCACTTTCTGAGTCGATTTATGCATGTCCGTCGGTCGGTCCGTCCGTCCGTCCATGTATTTTTGTTAACAAAATACAGGTCGCATTTATGATCCGATTTGGATGAAATTTGGCACAGGTCACTTAATTGGCCCAAGGACGAACCCTATTGGAGAAAATCGGTTCAGATTTAGATATAGCTCCCATATATATTTTCGTCCCATTGTGGTCCGATTGAGACAAAATTTTGCACAGAGTATTAAATTGGGTCTAGATAGTAATATGCCAAGGTTTGTTGAAATCGGTTCAGATTTAGATATAGCTCCGATGTATAGTTTCGTCCAATTTAATGTAAATAGTGCACCAAACTCCCAATGGTGGTACGACTAACTATTCACAGAGTACTGAATTAGGTCGCGATTGATGTATGAGAAATTTTGTTGGAATCGGTTCAGATTTATATCTAAATATGCTATATATAGTTTCGTCCGATTTAATGTAAATAGTGCACCAAACTTCCAATATTGGTACGATTGAAGAAAAATATTGCACAGCGTACTAGATTAGGTTCCGACTGATGAATGCGAAATTTTGTTGGAATCGGTTCAGATTTAGGTATAGCTGTCATATATAGTTTCTACATGATATTGTAGAAATTAACATGTCTTGCATGTACCCATAGTGGTGAAGGGTATCATATAGTCGGCCCCGTCCGACTTTTGAACTTTCCTTACTGGTTTTTGTTTAGCGTTAGGATTTGTCATCATTTGGATACAATTTTTGTGATCTGTCCTGTTTCCTCATTATCCCAAAGAAATTTGTGGCTCTCCTTCGTATATGCCATCATTTCTAGGTATGTTGCGCTAAATGGTTTGGCATTGCTCACATTTAATTTGGGTAGTGCAGTAGCACTTCTAACTAGTTGGTTGGCTATCTCGTTGCCTATTATTATGAGAATTTGTTTATGATCTTTACACATTCCAGTATAGTTTTGGATCAAACTGTTTTGCCTTATAGCTTGTTTGCTATCCATAATTATATTTGTTGTATTTTGTCTTAAGTTTATAGCTTGAACCTCCGCCTGTAATATTGTGTTGTGATCTGTGAAGGCGAAGAGAGATGTTGGTACGCGGTTCTTCAATAAAAAGTCCCAGTCCAGTCTTTCCTCCTAGTCTGTAGTTTCACACAGTGTGACTACTCTAGTTACAGGTATGCGGTCTGAATCAAAGGTCTTGATAGTGGATTCAATAGTGACCTGTAATAGGTTTTTGTGCTACGGCTCTTCTACAGGCAGACTAGCATCTATTGGCCTTGTCAACACGTTGCTGTATGTGGTCTTTCTATTTATGTTTCCTGTCTAGGATTACCTCAAGATACATAACATTATTTGATATGGCTACCGGCCTATTTTTGTCGTTCTGGTGAAAATACCTATCTACGTTTACTTCGGATTTACGTTTAGGCCCCTCGGTTTGGCCCAATTGTAGACGATGTTTAGCACCGTTTCTGCCTTTCTGCACAGTAAGTTAGGATTCTTCCCCAACAATAAGTATTATAACGTAATGTATCTAATTCTGTTAACAATGGTAGGTTTATTGCCTATGTTAAGGGTTGTTAGGTCGTTAATGTTCAAATAATCTAAAAGGGTCTGGCACCTTTTTTGATACCCCACGTAATGTGGTGTGAGTTAGCATCACTACCAATTAGTACTTCGTTACTTATTTTCTGTGCTTTTTCTCCAGTTGCTGCAGTTCCGGCTTAGGTGGTAGTATCAGCGAGTCGAACGGGAGATATACAGATGCTAGGTAAATTTTACCACTCCTCTGGTACAGTAGCGTCCGATGCTAACAACTCTGGGGAAGAGGAAGTATAAATTTTTGTGACATATTATAAAGGTTCTCGACCGGGAACCCGTATTTGCATAGAATAGTTGTTAATTGTTATGGTTTAAACCAGAGACCTTGTTCTAAATTGTCCAAGTTTCCTGGAGCAACTCGATTACCTTTTATTAATTGCCAAGGTTGCCGTCTCGCTCCGATGGTTTTAGTCAACAAGTTGTCTGTAATCGATATAATTTGAAACATTTTCGACCAGTATGTGATGGTGCGAAATGCCTCATATCTTTATAATTGTTGTATTTAAAAAATCCATTATAGTATCGAAAATTCTAAACAGCAACAACACCAACTACATTATCTTGTGTTTTTGTTATCTTTATCCCCACAGGACTTGTATCATGAACAATGCGATAGTGTTTGCATTCTATTTGCGTCGATACCAAATTTTAGCGAATTTTACGTTGAATTGGAGGGCAATAATGAAGGTGTCGAATGTCTGCGGCTATTAAATGAGATAATTGCAGATTTTGATGAATTACTAAGCGAAGAACGTTTTCGGTAAGTGCAAAAAATGTGTACATAATTTACAGGGTTCATTATATTTGTAATATAATATTTGGAAAAATTAATTAAAATTAAATTATTATTAAATTAAATGTATTGAAATAATATGTTGTGCTCTCAATATTTTTAATTGAAGTTTTTTTAATTATTATGATTTTTTATTCTTTTGATTCTTTTTTTCCAGATACATTGAAAAAATAAAGAGTACGGGTGCAACGTACATGGCTGCCTCTGGCTTGACGGCCCAAACATGTGACCTTGTCAATTATAAACATGTAACAGCAATGGCAGAATATGCTTTACAATTATTCGATAAAATCGAAGAAGTCAATATGCATTCATTTAACAATTTTCGCATGAGAATTGGTAAGTTTTTGTCGATGGTTTGTGAGAATCGACATTAATTGGATTTGATATTAAGTTAGAACTACGCCAAGGCCTTTGACACTAAAATTTAAGATTTTCCAAATAGAGATGTTAATCGACGTGTGTATTGAACAGTTCAAAAAAAAAAAAATGATAATACAAACTTAAATAGCTCTTGACATTTTAAAAATAATTTCCAAAAATTATTGATCTATGAAAATGTGAAATTAACAAGGTTTAGGGTACACCATAGTCGTGAGGGTATATTCATTTTGTCATTCATCAATAAATTCATTTCCGACCCTATAAAATGTTTCTTTAGACATGCTTTTGAACAATACATATTTGTTTTAATATGTACATTATCATCATCACTTGTTTAACCTACTAAAGGGGTTCCCGACTTGCTGCTTGTGGGATTTTCAAGACCATGTCCATCGGTCCCGATTTCAAAAATTTGGAAGATCTCAAAATTCTCAGCTTCAATTTTCTGTGAAACTATATTTTCTTTATACTTTATTCAGACATAATTTACATATACAAATATTTATTTGATAGGTATTAACATTGGACCAGTTGTTGCTGGTGTAATTGGAGCACGAAAACCACAGTATGATATTTGGGGTAATGCTGTAAATGTTGCATCCCGCATGGATTCAACGGGAATTGTTGATCATATTCAGGTAAGGACAATATTCCAACAAAAACCCGAATAAATACATAGCTTCTAGATAATAAAGAAGACGGAGTTTGTATTCTATAATAATGTAATTTCAAGTAATTTTTCATTTGCTTTTAAAAATACCTTGAATTATTGAAAACTTCGCTTCTATATTTTTACTTTTCTTTCATAATCTTTTAATTATGATTTTTATTCCCTTCTTCTATTTTGTCCACCAAATATAGGTCACCGAAGAAATGTATCAAATTCTTAAACCACGAGGATTCGATTTAACTTGTCGTGGCAGTGTTAATGTCAAAGGTAAAGGTTCAATGATCACCTATTTTCTAAATGGAAAATCAACGGAAGAAAAACAATCGGAGCCGATTGTTAACGGAACCATATCACCGCCAAAGGATATACCTTTGGAATCAACGAATACAACAGCAGCAGCAACAACAACAAACGAAGGTAATTCCATTATCAAGCATGCTGACCCTAGCCCCGTTCCTCCCGAATCATTGGTGTTTTCACACCAGCCTAGCAGTAATTTCACCGAATCGGAAGACTTGTCTCCCGATGTCGATCTCAATTCGAACATGAACAGTTTGACAGCACAGAGACGCAAGTCTCTGTGTCGTCAACACAACATATCCTCATCGTTCGGCACCACAGTCAGTTCCGCCACTTCAGTGACACCCTGCATTTCAAGCAGTTCCAGTGTGGTGACCATCGGAGCCTTGCCCGCCTTTAGCAAAAACAATTCATCGTCAATTGACAATACGTCGGAGGCTTGTAGTGCGATAAGTAAGACAAATTTTTTACCGCGTAGCCCATTGGAAGAACTGAAGGGTGAAACTGAAAGTGACAAGGGTACACACATAAATTCCATAGAAAATTTAGAAATGTTACTTAAGAATAATATAAGTCTGTCAGACCTTAATAATAAACAACAACTAAATCTTAGAACAAATGATCTAACACGGCCCAATGCCAATCACCCGAAAAAGGACATTGTGCCGCAGTTTCGAACCGAAATTGTGTCACGACGCAAATATCGATCGACGGCGAGTGTCACTGCCAGCACCAATGGCAGCTGTAAGGGCCGCCACAGCTCTCGCTTGGATGCATCGAGTCAACGGTACTCAGACACCGCATATTTGCTAAAAGATCTGACGACACCGGAGCAGTCACCACTGCATCATCAAAATCTTTCGGATGATTGTCAAGATGACGACGAGAGGCAAGCCCTGTTGGATAGCGAGTCCAAGAAAAATGCATCAATATTGTTAAACTTGAAACCGTTGGCAACTCATGAGGGCCTAAAGACTTCTATATCACTTAGCCCTTTGGGTTTGTACAGTGGCCATGAGATTATTGTCATACCCAATAGTCGTAGTATGATTACAATGGCTGGCGTAACAACGCCATCTACTGAACATGAGGAGAACAAAACAAATGAAGGAACTGCAGCAGCAGTAACTGCTGATGTTGTGTAAGTAAATGAACTGACACGCACACATTCACACACATACAGATTAAATCAAATCAAATTGTGGATATATATGTAAATAGACAACAAGGAGAAAGGAGTTTTAAAGCTGTACATATTAACGGTCATACGCATCACAACTACAAGGGGGCTATTGCAGGTATACAAATTAGTGAACTAAGCCGATTTTAAATATGGTTTCCTTTTTTCCCAAAAACAAATTAAATATATACAAATGAAGATATTTACTAGTATACATAGTTGTAAGTATAAAGCTAATAATTAGTTATACATAGGTGATATGTAAATATTGAGAATAGATGAGTATTTTTTGCGTAATTTGAGCAGCCTGTATAGTACAGCGTACAGTGACAATTACAATATCGGATTGTGTCAATTTAACAACAAAACCATAATAATTTTCAAGTACTATATATTTGTCAACTACTTTAAAATTGTGTATTTCGAAGCAAAATCTAACATATAAAAAAAAATAGAAAAAGTAGAAATAATTGGGCATTTTTTATGCACTAAATTATGTAAAACCAGTAAGGAAAGTAGTAAAGACGGACGATGATACCCTTCACCACTTTGGGTATATTCTACATATGTAACAGACGACGCGTTTTTGTTATATATCTACATCTGAACCGATTTCAGGGAAACTTGCCAGAGACTAATTTATATTACATCAGTACGTTGTGTCAATCGACCTAGCTATGGATCTTTTCACGCAGCTTAGCAACATCATTTTAGACTTAATTCTGTACCTTATACCAAACTTCGTGCAAATCGAAATATATATTGGGACTTTGGTGCACCAATTACCCAAAATCGGGTGAAACTATATATTAGCTAGATCTAAATTTGAACCGATTTTCATGAAACTTAGCCACATCATTCTAGACGAAATTCAGTACGCTAAAGATATGTAGGGTCTTTGGTGCACCAATTACCTTAAATCGGATGAAAATATATATGGGAGCTATATCTAAATCTGAACAGATTACCACTAAACTTTGTACACATCATTCTAGACATAGTTCAGTACGCTATGTCAAAATTCGTGCAAATCAAAAGATTTCTAAGGACTTTAGTGGACTATTTACCTAAAATCGGACGAAACTATATATGGGAGCCATATCTAAATCTGAACCGATTTTTACGAAACATAGCGCACTCCATTCTAGACTTAATTAAGTACGCTATGCCAAATTTCGTGCAAATCGATGGATATATAGGGACTTTGGTGCACCATTTACCTGAAATCGGACGAAAATATATATGGGAGCTATATCTAAATCTGAACCAATTATCACGAAACTTAACACACATCATTCTAGACCTAATTCAGTAGGCTATACCAAATTTCGTGCAAATCGAAAGATATATAGGGACTTTGGTACACTATTTACCTAAAATCGGGCGAAACTAGACCTAATTCAGTAGGCTATACAAAATTTCGTGCAAATCGAAAGATATTTAGGGACTTTGGTACCCCATTTACCTAAAATCGGGCGAAACTATAAATGGGAGCTATAACCAAATCTGAACCGATTTTGCCTAATTTCAATAGGGTTCGTCCTTGGGCCAAACAAATGAGCTGTGCCAAATTGCATCCAGTTGTTTACAATTTAAGATGGACAGACGGACGGACATGCATTTCATTTCAAGTACGTATAAATATACCTATGGTGGCGGGTATCCAAAGTTCGGCCCGGCCGAACTTAAAGCCCTTTTCACTTGTTCTTTTTATGGAGTTCGATCAATTTACAAAATTTATGAAGTATTGGATCGGCTTGTTTATACAAATCTGTTAGAAATCGCAATTATTCCCTTCGCTGATAAAAATATACCGCTTGTTTAGAAGTTTTTGCATGACAATAACCACAAAAAATCATCGAAACATGTCAAATGTTGGTTGGGTGAGTCGAATGTCCGGGTCTTATAATGGCCAGCACAATAATCAAATCTTCACCCAATATAAAAAAAATCTTTGTAGTATCCTGAATAGCAAAATGAAAAAAAAGAGTTTCACAAGCAGACAGACATAAACTCCTTGCAAATTGTTCAGGATGCAAGGCATAGTATATCCAAGGATGAAATTGAGCATTTTATCGACTTAATGCTGAGTAGGTGTGCTGCCGTAATGAAAAATAATGGTTATGCTGTCAATTAGAATCAAAATTTGCTTATTTATATAAAAAAAATCAAATGGATGCTTTAATTTTGACCATGTAAAAAAAGGATCAATTTATTTTTCATAGAATATTTTTTACTTCAAAATACATTTTGCGTTTTTTATATCCTTCACCACTCGGTGGTACAGGGTATTATGCATTTGTCCATATGTTTGTACCAGACAAAAAGAATCGATATACTCATAGATCTAAAGTAAATGGTGCACCAAACTGTCAGCGTTTTTCCGATTGATACACACTTTTGCACAACGTACTGAGCTTCTAATTGATGTATACGAAATTTTGTTGAAATCGATTCCGATTTTGATATAGCTCTCATATATACTTTCGTCCGATTTTAAGTAAATGAAGCACCAAACTATCAATGTTTGTCCGATTGAGACAAAATTTTGCACAACGTATTGAAATTGGGAAAGGTTAACGCACGTGAAGTTTTGTTGGAATCGGTTCCGATTTAGATATAACACCCACATATATATATATATATATATATATTTTCGTCCGATTTGGTGTAAATGTAGTCTAGAACATTTTGTGGTGAGGTCTGTTAAATTCGGTTCAGATTTAGATATAGATCCAATATATAATTTCGTTTAATGGTGCACCATAGATCCTGAGATTTGGATATACCTTACATTAGGCACGTTGGTGGAGCAGAGACATTTGGAACAGAAACATTTGTCTGCTTAATATTAGGAAAAGGGCAACCTAAAAAAAATTTTTTAAAACATATTTGGAGGTGAAGAAAATCTCGTTCCTGCCGTTAAAGAAAATAAGCACGAAAATGCGCACAAGGTGCCCAAATAGAAAAAGGATGTATTTTACAAAAAAAAGCGTTAAGTTCGGCCGGGCCGAACTTTGTATACCCTCCACCATAGATATACTGACAGGTAATAGAAATGAAAATATAGGGTACATACCAAAAGTATGTAATCCATAATGTAAATCATAATACAAATTTCAGAAATTTTTAATGGATAATTATACCTTTAACACTGTGAAAATGTGCTTCATCGAAATATTGGTTTCTTTGGACCAAATCCGTTTCAGAAAATTAAGACTTCATCCAAACTTTGCCCATCCTATTATTTCTTCCAAACCTAGTTCAAATTCGAAGATGGTGAATATCGGTCCACTCCTTCTGGAACCTCCACAAAGGGGCTAGGTTTAAATACGGCTATAGTTTATTATCGTTATCATTTCACCTCTGCAGGTGAAATGATTACAACCGAGACTTAGAACCAAACCACAAAACGCGGAATAAATCAAATAACTATTTTAACAGGGGGTAATATGGGGACTACCCCAAAAAGGGGGCGAATATTAATAATTTTTGGTAGGGAGATTTGTTATCCAATACCACTACAAAATACCAAATTGCAGCGAATTCGGTTGAAAAACGCGCTCAAGAACCCCAAAATACCGAAAATTGGGGGTACCCTTATATGGGGGCTATCCGAAAAAATGGAACTATATTCATATATTTTGTGGAGAGATTTGGAACCTATTAAGAACTCAAAATACTAAATTACAGCTATTTTAGCGGAAAAATACGATCAAAACCCCCAAAATACTGAACATTAGGAGGTACC